TCCAGTTGCTGAAGCCGATCCTGGTGAAGACGCACCGCTTGCAGTCACCAAGGCCACCACCTGGTACACCTCCAAATCCTGTATTTCGCTCTGCGACAGGACGCTCGATGTAGCAGTTTCAGTGCCCAAGCTCGGAATGGATCCACGATTGGTAACATCGCAGGTTAAGTCTGCTGTTGTCATCGCGCCTTGCCAACTGCAGGCCATGTCCACAGTCCATGCACCTGGCGTCGGATCCGTGAGATGCATCTCATACGTCTCAGGACCTTGTAGGATGGTGTAGGGCTCGCAGAAGGAGTAGTCCTCGCTGGAAGCATCGTCCTGACGGCGCATACGAGGCGCGGGTGTAGGCGTTGGAGTCGCATCAGGGTCAGAGGGGTTGCTTACTGGAGATGTTAGCACAATCTCTCTACAATGTTTCGCAACATACGCATATCGGACGGCACCGCAGAGATACCAGCTCCGTCTGAGGGGCAGCTGTTCTGGTAGGTTGTCGCGCTTGCGTCGGAACCTAGCACGGTGAGGGTGCTATCGAACTGGAAGAAGTTGAGAATCGTCGCAGACTCCTGCGCGATGGCAGCGCCGGCAAACAACGCGACATATCTGGAAGAACGCATGTTGACTGTGTGATAAGAATGGAATTGGAGAGACGCAGTGCTGCTGCTACAGCGAAGTAGGCTTGAAGTTATACAACATTTCCTATCTACCGCACGGCTCGCAGTCAATACTCCATTGCCTTGCCCGAACAGACGCCACCATTCCTTGCAATGTTCAAGCGACGAATCGCGACCTTGTCGTGCCTGGTATTGGTGATGATGCATCAGCAAATACGCGAGGCGACGAAACGCGCTATCTGGTTTTGTTGCTTGATAATCTCAGGGGCACGCACGTGGCTGAATAGTGCAGACTCATTATGACAAACATGTTACGAGAGCATGGTAAAGCGGGGGATCATTCAGGATACGAGAAGGAGGAGGCGGTTGACGCGACGCGACGCGATGCCTAGAATGCGGAGGTGGGTTTGCTGAAAGCTTATTTTTCAAGGCTGGCTGCTTAATTCAGTCGATGCATTTGAAGAGGCTGCATTAATGCAGCAGAAGAAAAGAAGAACTAAATCCAGCTCGTACTGCATGGAATACTGCTAATCCGAACATGATTCAACACGCGGCAGAGATACTGCCCGAGTGTCCCAGTTTCGGAGAGATCTTTTGCCTTTTCTTGTCCAAAGCGCGAGGCAGGTGTAAAGGAGGATGGCACCTCTACAAGTCTCGAGACGCTTCTCAAGCGTGCATCAGATTCAAGACTCACACTCGCGTGAGTGACTGCGAAAGAAGCAAGAGTATGGAAGAAGAAGGATAGCGGACTGACTCTGAAGTCTGACATCTTGTTGAAGCCGAGAGGGCATAATCAGGTTCCAGCGTACTGTTTCCCACTCCGCATAGGGTCGCTTCCCTCTCCGACATTTTTCTTCCGTTCAAACGCTGGGCAAAAAGAGCATTATATGTCTGCAAAAAAAGGCAAAAATATGTTTTTCCGACACCGGGAATCGAACCCGGGCCTTGCCGGCACTGTACAGTGAACTGACTCTGCAGATGAGAGCGGCAAATCCTAGCCACTAGACCATATCGGATATTGATGAAAAGAAAAGAAAACAGAATGTATATGAAAAGAATGAAAATTTTCTGACGAAAAACGAGGGGTCGGGCGGTAACAAAAAGTTTGCACGACGTTTGACACACTACCCACGAGCACTATGGAGCACGCAGAGTGGGTTTACTCATTGGATTAGGCTATTGGGAAACACTAGGCATCATTCGTTATATCGTTAACATAGAGCAGCGCAGTGACGGACAGCTCTCCAGAACTACCCTGGAAAGTAGGCTGGAGGCCAACAGGACCAACGGCAAACTCCATACGCCTATCCTAGATCGAAATGCGCTTGTGGGCAATCTGAACGCGTATAATGGAACGACCACTCACTCACCCCATGACTGGGGTATCTGCTCTCTCCGGCAATGACTGCGCGATTGGAGACAATCCGAGGAGCTTCATGCCATTCTCCAACACAACCGCGGTCGCTTGATACAGCGCAGCAAAGCCGGGCGTGACCTTTCCATCTTTATCACCCTCAGCATCGTCGTCTTCGTCCTCTGCGAGGCACTCAGTGAGCTGCTCAATCACACTAGCGAGATATGTAACTACTCCAGCTGGCTCGAGCGAGTGGTATGTCGCATTCACAACTTCTGGATACTGAGCCAGAACACGTAAAAGATTGGTCGGGTCTTCTTCAGCCAGCGTCACGAAGTCTTCGTCCGAGAGTTCGGCTCCGGTGTCGGCACCTTTGAGTAGTAGACGGAGTTTCGCCAGCCAGTACTGCAAGTCTGGTCCCGATCCGAGCTTGAAGGAAGCCATCGTACTGGTGTCGAAGGCGTGTGTTGTGGTTAAGCGAGTGGAGAGCTCTTGCACGAGCAGTGCGGATGTCGCCAGTCCTTCCTTGGTATCGTCCAGACCACCAATCGTTTCGAGCTTCTCAGCATCAGCTTCTGAAAAGGCTGCCATCGCCTCCTCACACGCATCCAGTATGCCCTGTGGTTTATAACCTTTACCAAGCGTCGCCGCCATCTTAGACGTCTCACTGAATTTGACATGATGAAGCTTACCAGCGAGCTCTTTCATATCAAGTGCTTCCAAGACCTTGATGAGCTGGGTGAAGTGCACACTATTGTCGCTGGCAACCACGTATATCATCTTGTCGAATGAATATTTCCTCGAGCGTTCGAGGACGGCGGCAAGGTCTCGGAGGAGGTATGTGCTGCTGCCGGAGCGATCGCGGATGATGGCCGTACCAGCCTTCGCACCTAGGTTTTGCATGTGGATGATCTGGGATCCTCCACTCTCCTCCGATATGCCCTTATCCTTCAACATCTGTTCGACTTCGACCATGGTATCGGGTTTGATCTGCGACTCGCCAGAGTAATCATCGAAGCGGACGCCTAATCGCTCGTAGAACTTGGTGTAATTGTCGATGTTGACATCTCTCACGCGCTTCCAAAATGCTACGAGTTCTTCATCACCCTCCTCTAGCTTCTTAAACGCTTCATTACGTTCTGCGAAAATGCCCTTGCTTTCGATCTCGACTTGCGCCTCTCCCTTATCCTCCCCTTCCTTCGCCACCTGGTCGCGCGCTTGCTTGCTCGCGACTTGTTCCGGCCTGAAGTCTTCTTCAATCTTATGGTAGACATCCAAAAGGTGCCCGATAGGATCCGCATTATACGCCTCTTCCGAGCCGTACTTCGACCATCCAATGTACAGCAAGGCGATCGGCTTGCCCCAATCGCCAAGGTAATTGATGCGCGTCACGTCCCATTCCATCAGCTCGTGCAATCGGCCTAGGAATGCACCGACAATCGTGCTTCGCAGATGCTTTCCTTGGAATTCGCTAGTGATGTTCGGGGAGGAGAGCTCAACCACGAGCTTCCTGCGCGCATCGTTCATGGTGGAGGAAGGTAAGATGGAGCCGTATGCGCTCTTCCTATCCAATATGTACGGTAACAAAAAGCGCGGAACCGCGTCCAGCTTCAGAAAGAAACGCAGGTGTACACCATCGGGCAGAGGAGGGTCAAAGAGGCTATGGTCTGTAGGAAACTGTCCATAGCGTCAGCTAGGTATACGCGATTGTGAAGAGATGGGAAGACCTTGTTCATCACATCTGCCGATATCTCAGCTGGTTTGCACCCTGGCCTTAGTCTTGGAACGGTAACAGACAGGTCTCCACTATATATGTTGTTCGGCCATTGTATGGACTTGACTGCATCTTGGATATCACACTCCGCGAGGACTGAAAGAAGTTGCGCCAGCGATACACGAAAGACCTCGAGAGGGTTACTGAGAACCTTGGATTCAAGAGAATATGTCTCCGGTTTGGATACGGAGAGACCTTCCAGTAGACTTCTCAGGCTGTCGAGGTCGAGGGTTGACATAGTCGACGTTTCTGGTATTCTATCTTATCACTCAGCAAATACTGATGAATTTTGTTTGCCTCGCACCTAATGCGATAGTTTCCACGGTGTGCGAAAGAGATTTAGACGAAAGAACAAGGTATAGAGTCTCGAAGCATTGAACTGCACTGTTTGTCGATAGCTCGAGATATTCTGAGTGCCTTTGACAACTTCCAAACTCCAGCCTTGTCCGGATGTGGCCCTCACAATGTTAGGCATCAGCCCACTATCGTGGTCGCTTGGGATTGGTGGTTGGTTGCATACGATAACATCAGGCATGCACAATTCCTGGGTGGCAGCATTCATTGGATGGTGAACAGCTGACTGACATACAGAGTTGTTAGTGATATTACAACAGTAGAGAATCAGAGTGAGACTCTTCCATAGGATGACTGTCGTCCGAGCGAGATACCCAGGTGTCTTCATGCACGGCGACCATCGCGCCAATGTTGTGACTTCCTACGGTTTATGCACCGGTGTAGGCGTCAAGCAAACGCTGCTGCTCTTGACAAAGGTAACTCACCTGGGCAGTACGTCCTGCCGCCCAGAAGTTGGCACATCTGATATACTAATTCCTCAGTCGACCATGGCTCGTAGATCTCTCTCGGTCATGGTCCAACCTGTAATTCATCTGGCCCGGCGGTTTGCAGCACTTAGCCACCGAGGTAATGGCAAATCGACTAAACGCGCAATGTCGTAGTGGGTACAGCTTGGTTTGCAGGGTAAAGCCATACCCCGCTCAGCCGCCCCGCTCCGCCATTGATGACCAGGCATGATACCTAGGTAGGCAGACAGACTCCGCGTAGAGAATCCTGACGTAGTTCTATGTGGCGCGACAATCGGTCCGGTTCGACGGCAAGAGTAGATTAAGACGATAACGATGACGTGCAGCAGATGAAACGCGTCTAAGCACGCGTCAGGGCACTGCGTATGTAATCACTTCAGGCGTAAAGTAAAACACAACGTCCATTGCGATACCGCCAATCCAAAGATTTACCCGCGATGGCATTGGCTCCATATACCAGCCAAATGTTTCCACACTTCCGGTGAGTTCGGTGAACTGCCCACCTCACAAGGCCTCACCGCCATAATCATGTGCCGCCATACGAGTGCACAACATGCCGCCCATGCGGATACCAACAGACTTTTCTGCTTGAAAGTTCTGTATAATCTCTGAGGGTAGCGGAAACATCTCCAGTCACTATCGGATTCATCAGATGCACCCCGTGCCGGTCACACTGTGCGCTAAGATAGTCATTTATGTACCTAGGCACCGAATGAGTGATCGCTACCTACCACTCCGCGACTACATGCGGCTCATCAAGCGTTAGGCCATTGGTCTCGGTTCTCGTGCCTCAACTTACAGCACGTCCTGTCATCGAGTATGTATACACTAGCTCAGCATCGCGCAGCTTACATATCTTGCAGGTTTCAACCTTACGATACCGCTGCTGTTGCATCGTCATCTATCCGAAGCGTCTATCTACCTACCTACCCTACCTTCGCTCTCGACCTACCATCTCAAGATGTGGTAGCCCCTAAGACGTCCTGCAAAGCACTATACTACAAAGGCAAGAAGCGACTAGAATATAAGCAGGGCTCATGGTCTAAGGCGCAAGGCATTTTCTGTGTATTTTGTACAGCTCTCGAGACGCGATAGCGCAAAGATACTTGGTTCTCGATTTGCAACATGGAACATACATACGGACATAGCCGTTACTTGTACCCAACGGCTGCAGCTCATGTTACCATTCAGTATATGGCCAAGGAGAAGTACTTGATTATTTGGCAATGTGTGAGCGACTCGTATAGGACGAAGTCCAACTGATTATGCTGACGTGTTCTAGTGCACTTGTGGCCGTCCTTCGATACCCGAACCAAACGGAAGTATCTGTCCGTCGTGTGAACACGCTCAGTGCAGCGACTGCAAAAGGAAGAAACTACAACTTACATCATGAACAGTTCTCACATGCGTGAGAGAGCAAGAGCGTTTTGTTCCTTGTCTATGCTGGTTAGAGGTTTCGGTGCCATATCCAAGTGTATGTGTTAGTATCTACGAACCTCTTGCTTAGGCAAATGGGTCATATCGTAGTTTGTTACGAGCATTCATTCTGTTATGTGGCACATAGTCGCAATTTTGATTTGCATACTTTTGATCGGTTTCGTCCGAATCTGGCGAATTGCAAAACTTTATACCAATACGATTTATATGTTGTAAGAGGATAAATGCTATCATTTCATTCGGATCAGCATGTAGAAGGCCAAATGGCAATGTCACTGCTAGGAATAGATAAACTTTCTCAGATCATACATAATCATAAACATCATAATTCATTAGAAGTGCCAAGTCAAGCTCGTTGCCGCACAGGTGGAGATCTTGTGTTGGCAGGATCCGGGCTGTCAGGATGCTCCAGGTCGTTCAATTCTAGCAGAGTTAGCCGGCTTTCATGGAGCGGGACGACAGCTGCATGGAAACCCCTAGGATCTAGGAATTGAGATGATCTTACCGAATTCTTTAATCCGGTCAGACTCGCGGCCCATCTTTCGCAATGCAAGCTTAATTAGTTTGTTTTTAGCTGAGATGAGCGCTTCAACGGCGTGTGTCGTTAGTGGCAGAAGGGCTAACAGTACAAAGAGACACAACACAAAAGCTTTCGGACCACGATCAATTCCGAGAAAGTTTCGCTCGCCGCAGAAGTACTGGAGGGCGAAGGCGAAAGGGCTTGTGATCAGGAGTAGCTAACCCTGTTAGTAACAGCGATCTGATTGGGGTGACTTTGCACTAACTTGTACGTTCGCCTTCGTCGTTTGGTTCGTTTCTGCCACCGATCTTTGGCTGTCAATCGCTATGATATTGATCTTCTGGTTCAACCTCAACGTCTGTTGGGCGAGCTGATAATTCTGGGCGTCCAGTGCCCTCTTAAGCTACTTATGTCGTCAGAATCTTCGGCGATGGTATCAAAACATTGTACTCACAGCCTTGGCCGCATCTTCTAGGGTTCGGTCTACTCCGTCCAGCTTTTGTAGTTGAAACTTCAGATCCGCAAAGGTTTCGCTCGTGTCCTGGAGTGCGAACTTGGCTTTTTGGTCGCTCACGTCGGAGAAGAAGGATATATCCCCACCAATGCCGCTGAATCTCACCCACACAGCTATCGTGCGTGACAGGTGTGTTCTCAGGGCATGTAGAACCTCTTGGATCTGGTTAATCTCCTGCCCCAACTGCGAGGTATTGATTTTCGCATTCGGAACAGGCCGTGGGCTCCTGACCGTGTATATCGATCTGGTCTATCAACGATAAGTAAGACTAACAATATCAGATACTGATAAGTGAACTAACCCACTCGTCGACGCCTAATTCGAGAGTACGAATCAGGCTATCATACCGCTGGCCGATGATCTTCACTCGAATAGCTAGTACGCAGAGGAAATACACTCTAGGATCCCATATCGGCGAGTTAGCATCCAGAACGTGCTGGTCATCATAATTTGTATCCCCGGTGGCAAACAGATCTTCGTCTGGCATGCTACCATTGTTGTCTTCGTCTTCATTCTCTGGGTTTAACTCCTGGCCTTCATTCATGGAGGGACAACGGGCCGAGAATGCATAGCCTGTCCATTCAAACGCATCGCAACCAAACACAAGAACGGTTTCGTGTGCCTTCCAAATGGAAAAGTGCGTTGGACCGTCACCTTGGTCTGCATCAATCTTTAAGAAAGACAGATCTGTCTCCAATCGTTCAATCCCGCATCCTACTTCAGCCGAAGACGATTGCGACTGATCTCGTTCTTCCAGGATCAGATATGGTAGGCTCAGCTCCAAGCGGAAAGTTTCAAACCCGGTGTGCTGTAGTACATTTCAGATTAGAGCAATCAGAAATTTGTCATGTAACCTACTGGAACGTGTACATTGATGGCCGTCTCACGCATCATGTGTCTACGTATTGCAGGCCTTAATGCCAAGACTTCGTTCCATGATGAGGTTTTTGCAAGAGCATATGCGAAGTCCAGATCGAGTTGTCGTATGAAACTGATAAGGTCAGCGACTGTATGCACAAGGTTACCAGAAGTACGAGTAACATGGTTTTCGCTGTATGGTGATTGAGAGAAGTTAGGCATACATCAAGCGCCGAATGACATCAGCATCTGATACGGCATTTGTTGACTGGAAGCTGTTAGTTGTTGTCAAGCAACACTTCTGGCATACTAGCTCCTAGACTCACCCGGTTCTTGATGAAACTAGCCAATTGGTTCGGCGTAAGGTTTTCAGGTGACATGTGGTTGGAGTCAGACGTCTTCGCACGGGACTCTACCCAAGCCAGCGTGTTGCTTCCACGTAGTATGTTGTCGAATATTCTTTTCACCCATTGGACTTCTCGCGACAAGATAGAGCTATCAGTATCTTGGAGAAAAGCGTCCAAGAGCTCCCGTTTCATTTTCACCCCTCGTAAGCACTTCAGGAAAGGGCGATCTTCTTTCTTGCGGTTCCTGTCATTGAATTTTTGATTCCATGCTTTGCCGTATTCTGCGCAACTAGCTTTCAAGGTTGTACCGTCTAGGTAATTCATGGGGTAGAGACTTGAGTGGTGTAATGGTTTGTAAGAGGCTCATGCTCGTATTAACGGCAGATAAGGAGTATATGAAAGTTGTCTTCCCAAATCCACGCGATCAATAGATTTTGTTGGAATCTGGCGGTTCACAACTTCACAAAGAATGCGGGGGGACTCGAGAACGATGAGGCATTTGTATCATAGACATATGAATCGCCGAAGGGATGTAGAAGTCCGCCTCGTTAGAAGGGCGATGGCCTATCCATCCAATGGCAAATGACTATTGTGACAGTATGATACACACTACCCGCATGCTCCGGTACTGCATCTCTTCATCGGTATGCTCGTAGTACGATAACGTTTAGATTTCGTGGTGCTACACACAAAAACACGTCTTGTGATGTTAGTCGTTGTATGATGGCATTTGATGCACCCTGGAAGTATATCACGAGATGATGTGCAGGAAGAGGCCGTCCAAGACTTTCCATATTCAGGTAGTGGCGGGTATGCATGATTTCCTACCCGGTTAACCATTCGTCTGTGGTGATGGTGAGGCGAAGCGCTCGTGGTATATACGTGCGGTAGGTAAGTAGGCAAAATTCAGGCTGACCCGAACCCCGGTCCATGGGTCGCTTGAGATTGGGCAAGGCGAGGAGGACCTTCAAGGGCGCAGAACAGAATGCCAGCGCATATAATCAAGTAGTCTTGGAATGATGCACTGTATACACCGCTTGGATAAACAAATTCTGAACGCTTTCCGAGATCAGTAGTATATTCAAACACAGGAGGATGTTGCGCAGAGTAATATTGTATATATTCTGTCGGCACTATGATTCGACCGTAGCTGTAAGCGAGCTACTCGCGGTCGACCAATCATCGGCCGACTTAGCCTACCGAGAGGGTGTCACCTACGGTAGACTAGCAAGAGCATCGGAACGTCACTCTGCTCAGCCCCAACCCCATATTGGGCTTTCTTAGATAGTGCAGCCCAAATATGTTGGGTTTCACTTCACAGTTCATATATCTACAGTGTTCCTTTAGCCATCTATGCCTGACTTTGGTAGGTCCTGCCGATTTCAGGCAACCTTCAGCGGGCAATGTAGGGCCCAAACATAGCAAGCTACGTGTTGAGCATGATTTTCGCGCTAGAATAAAACCAATGGCATTCTGTCATGCCTACACTGACGTGGCAGTGGCTTGTTCCTTGTGAGCTGGAACAGAATCCAATGATTAGGTACGACCTTACTCTAGCCACATGATATTCTCGCTGACGCCGAAACCAGAACAAAAGGTGAAGGAAAATCAAGAACCGATGAGTTAGACTGAAGTGCTAATGTACATGAACTTGAAACACAGCTCTTAAGGTTTACAACAGATTCGCTTGAGTTATGCAAATGCAAGAGACAAGGGAAGTAGAGAATGTACAGAACGAGGTCTAATGGATGTAGGCTGTCGGATATTCCTCCTCCAAATGGAAGCAGAGTAGGCAGGGAAGCGTGCCCCAAGCTGACGCGAATCGAGCGAGAGAATATCGAGCGCCACAGGTCTGCGACTAGTGTGCGGTTTCGGCGTGCAGTACAAACACGTCTGTTTAAGAAGAGATGCATCGCCTATTCAAGTGAGCAGATCACATGACCCGCTGGTCTCATGTATATAGTCTGAGCATCGCCCAGGTTCGAATGATTCGTCTTTTTTCACTCGAATCTTACTCTCTCCTTTCATATGTACCGCTGACCACGGGCCATGCACTGCGTCTTTTCTTGACGTATGCTGAGTGCCCTATCTCTGCTGAACTTTTGTTATGTGACAGTTGCCGCATCTGCCGTATCCGCAAGAAGGGCACGCATTGCTACGGTATGGTATAGACAGAGCCCCGCAATAACAGCACTGCCATATGAAGGTATACTTCTTGCCAGCCGTGCGCACATGCTTATCCAAAGGTGAGCATGGAGGTAGAATTGCAGTTCGCTCTCTTTTCCTTTTAAGGAGGCTCCCTCGACCGCCAACGCGAGCCATTATAGTTCAGCAACCTTTTTGTGCTGGAACAGCTATCAAGAGAACGCTTTCTGACTTTCCACGTTGGATAGTGGACGATGTAAAAAGATGGATTGTTCAAGGCTCGTAGGGTAAGGCTGTTTGCCGGAGGACGTATGCAGCGATTGGGTTCTTGCTCTCGTTTCTTTCCACTTATATGCATGTACACGTTGAATCCGAGAGTGTTGATGTAGTCGCGTCGCAAGAACGAGGGTTGGGTCGGCCAACGGGGGAACGGCGCCGGACAGCTTCAAGGTTGGGACTTGGGTCTTCGAAGACGGTTTCACTAATTCCCTGTTGTAGTTGTAAGTAAATGTTTCCGTTATCTCGAATAGGAAATATGTGATCAGTCCCTTTGGTCAACTTCCAGCTTCAAAATGCTGATAAGAGCTAATACTGGCGACCAGGTACTCGGTCCGACAAAAGAGCTATAGCTGAACGCAGTAGATTGTAATACTCTTGCCGCGCTTCAGGACAACAGGAGACTACCATGGTGTGGAGTGTACTTACCTTATCAGAGGAGCGGGAACGGTGGGTCCCCTTTCCAGACTACCTCGAGAGGCAACGTTGAATGTACGTGGCCGACCGGGAACAACGGCTAGCTGACGTTACCCAGATACTCACGAAATTGTGGGCTTGTCTCGATTTTAAACATTCAGCAGTATGCATAGAAGCCCCGGAAATTGCCTCTTGCGGCCCCTTTATCCCGTTGGGAACCGGACGTCAATACGGCGCGTGCGCCCCGATCGCAACTGGAATCCCGGAGGACGCGATAGTGATCGGAATGCCGGTGCAGCATACAAGCAACTAAGCAAGCGCTAGTTTATTGCGTCGGTTCTGATGTTGTGAATCCGCGTTCTAAGGTTTTCAAGGTTGAGTTGGTACCGGTAGACCCTGCTGCTAGGTAAGAACCGCCCAAGCGTGGCTGGAGCTCGGGAACGTCGTACAATGTAGGTACTGATCCCAAAACCAACGAGCAGCACTGTCAAGGTAACATCATCTGTAATAAGGCTCAGTAAATTTTTTCTAGACTGAAAACCTACGCGCACATGCATATACAGTCCTAGGTTGAGAGTAAACATAGCTGTGTTATGAAGGTTCACAAGCAGAACCCTTGAAAACGGCCTAGGTATAACTCAGTCATTAATATGAACTAAACCCAAATGAAACGCACAAAGAGTTTATAACCACGCACCCTTTCTGCGTGTTAAAGGACGCTACTCAACTTCCAGATACTGAAGTTGTCATGTGGGTCAGGATTCTACACATCTGTGCAGGTAGTCTGCCATCATGTTGATCATCAACGCTTACACTACTTCCTAGAGATGTGGTTCCACTACAGATTTGAAGAAATAGAGGGAAGCGGTGTAAATATGTTGGCCCTACTAGCGTAACGAGAACACTACGTTGGCATCGCTTCACGTTGTATGGATGCATACTCCACTACCATATAGCTGAGCTGCATTCTAGACTTCGTGTAACCGGGAGGTTTAGCGGTGTGCATGCTTGACCCATAGCAACCCATAAGAACATAACTTTGGAGGGGAACGATGCTGGCCAAGCAAACTCTCCGAGGTCAGCAGAACCACACTTGGGCTAGTTGACAGGCTACGAGCGTTAGCGTTAATGTCGTGAAAGGCCCAGGTATCTGGTTTTGAGAGACGCAAGCATTCTTGGTTCTTATTCTCTGACAAATTCTACCTTCATGCATTCTCTTCTATACTGTGAGGGACCAAGATCGGCAATGTATGCTTAAGTAGCTCTTCTCGATGGAACGTAACCCAAGTCTAGTGTGAATCATGCATATTTCTTGTGGGTACGACCGGAGATGAGGAAAAGAAAGACATCCATGGAAAGTATTGAGTTTTGGTGTGTGGGCAACGGAATTCTCAAAAAGCAATCAGCTAGATTGCCTGGAGATTATGTGGGTATAGCCTATCCAAGTCCTCTACATCGTACACTGCTTCTGATCAGATTCGGGAGACTGTTCTATACGTAGGTAGTGCAGCCATACTTAAGGAGATTGTAGAAGCTGGCTACCGTCGACAGTCGTGGAACATAGGAATGTCGGCTGTGCCACGATTTGAATTCGTCGGAGCAAAACCTAACCATTTATGCGGATTCCTGGGTTGTTCGGATACTGAACCCATCTGGACGACGTGTATCATGGGGCCAGAATACACCGCCATTCAACTTGGATTAAAGCCAAGTCGAGTCTAGCAATGTACAACAAAGAAGATAGTCTGTAATGCCACGCTCGGCAGCTGCTGCTAAAACATAAAGTAAAGAAAGGGTGGCACAGGGCCGTTCAACAACAAGCCGGTCTTAGGCCTGTAAGCTTTTGGACCGCTTGCAGAATTTATAACTTCTACCAGACTTTGACATAGAGATGGGTCATCCGCCACAACATTCATGTGGTAGCAGTCTGTCTAGATTAGATTAGTGTGACATCTCCAGGGTTATGTAAGCACCGCCACACGGCCCGAAGATAGGGGTACACAAATCCTTCACGTCTTGTACGTGCGCCGTTGTCCGAAGAACGTGCCGCGGGAAAGCAATCATACACATTGTCAACAAGATTTTCGACGCTATTGGTTGATTAGTGAATCCTTGCCGCCGGCCCGCTACTTCCGGCAAGCATTAACACCGTGTGTTTGCCTTTTCTTATGAACTTGTCATGGACGGAAGAAAGGACAACCCCCCTCATCCGAACCGCAAGCGCAGTACCGGAATCTTTCGTTTCGATATGATATAAACGTCGAAGAGCCCATCACGCATGCTGTATCGTGTCCAGCTCAACGGTATCTAAGTGCATCAGTAAGGTCACATCACTCTCGCCCAACAGCATAATCCTCACCTTGAGTTCCCTCGGAATGGCTCGATGTCATTGACCGCTTAGACGACTTCCGATACACTAACGCGAACAAAGCGCCCCCATACTCAAGAGATAAGGTCAACAATCTGAGGACTGCCATCAATACTACCGTGGCAAGGACAAAGGTCTTTGGATTACGATTGAATGAGAATATCTCTTGCTCCGAGCCGAAGTACTGGAGGACGATACCAAAGGGGGTCGTAAGCAACAACAGCTAGAGGATATCAGCACACTGGTAGTATCGGTCAGAGAAGGATGTTATACCTCGACATTCACGCGTGTACTGCGACTAGTTTTCATGGCCTCTGTTTGGCTCATACATGCCGCTTCTGTGCTCCTCTCATTTAGCTTTCGCATTTCTTTGTTGAGTATGCTTGTTTCTTCGTTCATTTTGTGCATGCGCTCACTTAGGCGGTGACTCGCTTGTTGATGTTCGTTGGCCTCTCGGCTGAGCTTGTTACTTTCCATAGACAGGCGATTACTCTCGAGATCAAGAATGCGCCCCAGCTATGGTCTTCATGAGTGGAGTCCGTTGTTCATTGTCACTGTTGACTTACATGAGTTGCAAATCTTTTACAAGAATCGTCAAGGGACCTTAGTTGGATTGAAAGGTCGGTAAGCTTCTCGAAAGATTCCACAATGCTGTTCTGCACCGACCAGCAGTCTGTGATGTCGGAGAAGTAGTGTCTATCTCCACCATATTTATCAAATCGGTTGTACACTCTGAGCGTGGTCGAGAGTTCGTCCCGCAACTTACGTAGAAGCTGCATGGTCTGGAGGGTCTTGTTCAGGGACTTCTGAATCTCGTCCGCTTGCAAGCTTGACTTGTTGGTATTGCTACTGCATGGATCTTCTGTTTTCTACTACGACTTAGTCCCAAGTCATGCGAGATTGAAAACTCATACATACCCATGACTCCACACCATCCTCTATGGTGTGTACAAGATACAGCCATTCCCTTAGCACATATTGACAACGATGAGCGACCAAACGAAGCCAGTACCGCCTCGCGTCCCAGCAATGTGTAGATTGTCGGGGAAGGACAAAGTCGAGGCCGTATTGCGAGGTCAAGAAATGTCCTCTGAACTCGTCTTCATCTTCTTCATCTAAGTCATCGTTGTCTGATTTAGTAAAAACGTATCCAGTCCATTGGAGATTGCTCCAACCACATATGACGATGCTCATATGCCCTTGGTAAATCGAATGTGGAGCTACGTTGCCATCATGGCCAACCAGCTCGAGGAACGAGAGATCTAGCAATGATCCAGTTTTGTCAACGTCTTCACTGCCAGCGGCTATGTCTGTGATTTGTGGTGATTTTCTCAAGAGCAAATGCGCCATGTGAAATTCTAACCGGTATGTCGGGAAGCCCATGATCTGTGGTAGGTCAGCTTCCGCATGGTTGCATTTGTAGGCGTAGTACGTACCGGAACATGTACCCGTAGGCTGGTTTCCATGGCGATATGCTTGCAAATTGCATCACGTAATGCCTCTACCCCCGCAGTCCACACTGTCTTTGTGAGACTGACGACGAACTCTGGGGTGAGTTCCGAAATGTAACTGTCTTATGGTGAGTACCACGCCAATGGGAGAGTGATGAAAGATAGGGCGACCGAACGAACATCATACGCTGATCCACGTCTTCAAGGACCTGGTCATTAAACCGCTTTGTTCGTCAGCCATATTGGATTTGTAGCGTATTGAGAATATTACCTCCATGTCCAGAATCCCGCGCAAGCCATCCGGATCGAAACTCCGTCCATAATCTCGACTTCTTCCTGCGGCTATCTTCCGATCGCAAACCCAAGCCCACGTATCACTTTCTTGTGTTACCATTCCCCTATCTCCGTTTTGCGCAAAGAACTTGTTGAGGACCTTCGCTTCCCAGGCGGCATGTTGTGCGTCGGAACCACCCAGAAGCCTAAGTATAAGTTCTGGCATGGGAAGCATGTCAATGTTTTCATCTAATTCCAATGCGTTCCTATAAAAAGCGCAGTCTTTGCAAGTCCTCGGCTTGGAAAAGAACTTGCTCCAGTACTTGCCGCTGCGGTTTTGCAGATCTATCTTTCGAGGCTTCTGTATCAACACGCTCGATTTTTTAATGTGGTGCCTTGTGTTATGAGTGAATGCATAGGAGTTTCTTGATCTTGGTGATATAAGGGAAGCGCAAGCCTGAGGATCCGCATCCAGGTCGACCGTTGCCTGTCCATTCGAGCAGTGACTTTGGATAACGGTAGATGTACTCTATAACATGGTCAATGGATGCGCCACGGAATGTATGAATAAAATTTCAAACCATAGCTGTAGCCAGTTGCGCTGATAGAATATCCGATAGTTGCTTGCCAAAGCGTACGATACCAAAGAATTCTGAGCGATCAACGAGAGGTGCAGGGAATGTATAAACAATACCGAATTTATAAAGCAACTGCAGAGTACTCCCGAGACACATGTTCTTGTGTCTTATATAAATGCTCATGCGCGATCATGTCTGTTCTAAGTTCCCTGCACGTTCAACCGCGCGGTTATTGGGTGGCTTCGAATCAACCTTGGGATGACACACGAAACGCCTGCAGCAACGCATTATTCGCGACATGTCAACCTTACGCTTCAACCATGTTATCTGGGTGGAGAACAGAAAGATGGAGGACAATGATCTGTTGGCAAATGTGAGCTAAGAGAAAGGGAGTCTACAGACCCACACGGACCGCTTGTAGGGCATACTTAATGGGCTCGTCTTTCATCTGCGTGTGGGTACCATGAAATATACCGTGCCTCGATACATACATGTGCATACTGTTGTTGCCCTTCGTTATATCGGTGACCATCGAGCGAATACACCATATTGAATGGGCATGGCTTGGCATTTCGGGCGCAGACCTGCACCTCTACGGCTCCGGAATATCTTGTGGGGTAATCCTGCATGACGTTAGACAGGAGCGACAGTGCCACTCAATTCAGACGCGTAATTAGATCGATTAGCTTACCCATTTAGGAGGAAAGATCTAGGCGCCAGTGCAAAAGAAGGAAGGTGATCAATGTCCGCAATCGTCATAGGCGGGAAGCGAAGCTCAAGCTTCAAAGCACCGAGCTGTCCAGCTCTTCTCAGCCCCAAGAAGTAATCTTCAATCCCAATTCAGGTGCCATCCGCCTCTCAGACCTCAAAATGGTATTTCGTGCCTTCTCCGTTCTCTCTCTAATCCTCAGCGCCCTCGCTGCCGTTCCACCATCCCGAACACCCCTCGAGCTGTCTGTTCTTGACCCATCCACCTCCAAAGACCTCCTACACCTCCACCGCAAGCTCGTAGAGATCGAGTCGATAACAGAGGATGAGAAAAACGTTGGCGATTGGCTCACCAAGTATCTCCGCGCACACGATTGGACTGTCGAGAAGCAGGAAGTGTCCAGGGACCGATACAACCTCTTAGCTTACGGCAGCAAGCGCGAAACCACGATCCTACTATCCTCACACATTGATACTGTGCCACCCTACTGGCCGTACTACCACAATGAGACGACCGACATCATTGGCGGCCGAGGCAGTGTAGACGCAAAAGGCAGCGTCGCACCCATGATAATCGCCGCACAAGAGATAAAAGAACATCTACAAGACGACATATCCCTGCTCTTTGTTGTAGGCGAGGAAACAGGCGGCGACGGCATGCGCGCGTTCAGCGACTGGGACAAGCGCCCATCGTCGCACGAAATCGTCATCTTCGGAGAACCCACCGAGGCAAAACTAGTCTGTGGACACAAGGGCATGCTAGGCTTCTCGGTCAAAGCGACGGGCAAGGCGGCGCATTCAGGATACCCGTGGTTGGGCGTCAGCGCAAACGACATCATGGTAGAGGCACTGGGAGAGCTTCTAAAGCTAAGGGAGCACCTCCCTTGGAGCAAGAAATACGGAAACACGACCATGAACTTTGGTCGCGTACAGGGCGGTGTCGCGGCCAACGTTGTCGCCGAAACCGCGACTGCGAATATTGCTACGCGTCTTGCGGCCGGTACCCCCGATCTCGTTCGCGGACAAATCATCGACGCGCTCAAGAACGTCAAGGCCGCTGCGCAGAAGGAAGGCGGAGATCTGGATGTACAGTGGGCAAGCGAGGGATATGGCGTTGTGGATATAAACTGTGATATTGAGGGCTTCGAGACCATGACCGTCAACTACGGGACGGATGTACCGAACCTCTCTGGTGATCATAAGAGGTACCTGTACGGCCCAGGCTCCATCTTCGTCGCGCATTCAGATCACGAGGCGCTGAAGAGGAAGGAGTTGGAACAAGCTGTTCTAGACTACCGTCGCCTTATTCTCAAGGCGACGGAGGTAAGGGAGAAGGAGCGCCAGGTGCAGGACGTGGAACAGGTGGAGTTGTAGAGTGAGGCGAAGATATAAACGTAAACTATATACAGCCAGATACCCAAGTGAAACCAGTCCTTTCCATCCAGTTCAACTATTATCAGCTTATATACCCCTACATTTAGTCTACCAGGAGAAGAGTCTCGCTCAATACAGGCAGGTCTGAAAGCAGGTGCTCAATGCCCCTTCCCAAGCTCAACCTCCGGCCTTTGACAGCCAAGGGGTGAACTGGATAGATAGCACGGCGATTGTTCTTGCGCATTATCCCTCATATTTGAAGGGTCAGAGCGAACCAGCAATGGGGGAGAATGCATGGTTCGTCTGGAATCTGTTCGTTGCGCTGATGAGGATGGTGTGAGGGAGCGAGATGAGAGATGCTTCGTACAACGCACGGAGCGGAGGAAGGTAGGCCCGAAGCGATAAGATAGGCAGCAATCGAGGGGTTTGAGGTAAGATGAGATGTTAAAGGAGGAAGTAGCGATGACACCGCGCTATGCATTCAACTTACCCAACGCCGATTATGCTAGCGTCTCATACCTCAAATCATACATATACTTATACAGTCATAACACCATCAATCGACAGACTCAGCTTGCAATAGCCGGCACATCGTCCTCCTTTTGGGCAATACCCTCTGCCTCCTCAGCAGCCTTTGCGCTCTCCGACATACCCAGATCCCTGAATTGCCAACCGTCGTTCTCCTTGACCCAATCTTTGCGTTCGCCCAAGATGGCGACACTACTCTCCTCGGCACGCTTGACAAGGAATTGATCGGCTACGGCTTGTACCTGCTCAGCTGTGACGTCGAGTAGGCGTTCGCGACGCGTCTGCAGCATGTCGTCCGTGACGCCAGATAGGAACAACCTCATACCCTCACGACTGACACTCTGTGGCGCATCATACCCTTGGAATGCACTAAGCTTAGCTTCTTCAAGATCTTGAGGTGTCCATGCGCGGTCGCGCGCCCATTGTCCTGCTTCAGCCATGATTTTCATGCTGTTCTGTGGGTTGGGATCGCGGTATGAGTACATGCCAAAGACACCACCCAGGCCACGGGCATAAGCGCCACCTCCATACGCACCACCCTTTTCACGAATCTCAGGATGTAGTTGCTTGAAAGTGAGAAGTTTGGCAAGAATTTCGAGAGGTGCGCTGGAGGCGTCGGTGTAGGCTACTGTCGGGACGGCGCGCGGAGTAATAGACTTGGTAAGGGAGAGGGAAGAAAGACTTGGCGTTACGAGGGTACTGCTTTTGCTGTGAGGTCGTAGGTACAGAAACATCCTTTGGTAGGGTGTTCAAGAAGCGGTGGAGTGCTTCCTGGTTTGGTGTTGAGCTTTCGTTACCGCAGTTGATCGCCACGCGGAGCTGGTTGCTGTTTGCGATAGTAAAGGACTGGATGGCCTTGAGTTTTTGAATAACCTCATCAAGAGACTCTTGCGATGCGAGAGCTGTCATGACCTTGACTTGGGTAAGGCCTCCGGTTTCTTCTGCCAAGCGGCTAACAGGACTGATGCCAGCTTCGGCATATCTCATGGCATAAGAGTGGCCAGACTCTGCAATCGAGTTGATGGCACCACTTGCTGCACTCTGTAAGAGCTCTCGGATTTTCTTGCCCGCTTCAGGTCCATCAAAGTCGGTCTCTTGTATGATGATTCGGAGAAGCTCATACATGTCAGGGATGTTGCGATCGAAAGCGTAGCCCGAGAACGCCATGCCTTCTTCGTATGCATCCAGTGACAAAGGCGACTGTGATGAGTGGTATCCTACGGAAATGCCGCCTGTCTTCAGCTTGATCAATTCCTCTAGCTGTTCCATCGTCTTGTCTTTAGTACCAAGACGCATGATGGCGCTAGTGAATAGGGGGATCATCTCTCGAAGCTCGTCTGGGAGATCTTGTAATCTGTGCACCGCACGGAAGTAGGTAAGACCATTGGTGGGTGCCTCACGCCATTGGACCTTCACACCGTCCAACTCGGTATGCCGAAGTGGCTTCCTTTCCTTCTCTCGTGGGATGTCCTTCACATGGACAGTGGGGAGACAGCTCAGATCTTCGTTCCTAGCCTTTTCTTGTACTTCCAGCAACTGGAGCTCTCGCTCCTCTAAGTACTTCTGTGCCTCCTGTTCGCTTGGGAATTGCTTGGTAGTCTCTGCAATCTTCGCCGCTAGTCGTTGGCTTTCTTCGTCCACGAGCTCCTGGCTAAATGTCTCCGAGGGCTGCATGGTGAAGGACAAGGTCTTGTCATTGAGGAGGTACTTCTCGATCAAGCTTTCCAGGTAACCGCCTTCAGCGTGCTTCTTCTGGAAAGCATCGACTGTTTCTTGCCATGCGAGGGCTTCCATGGGGTCGATACCGTTGAACCAACCAGGCTTCAGTCTTTGGAGGATACCCATTCCGAAGTTGGCAGTCTTGTGCTTGAGCGAGAGTTCCAACTGATGTAGGATGCCATCAACCTTGATCTTGTCGAAACCGTTCTTGCGCGCTTCGAGCAGGGTCTCGGCTATGACTTGGCGGACTTTGCCTACGTCGTCTGCTTTTACAGCATCCAGTCCAATGGAAAAGACACCTCGTCGTCCTGCGCTGTCGTAGCCGGTGTTCGCACTAAAATCAGCACCAAGTCCAGATTCGACAAGATTACGGTACAGAGGCGAACCGTATCCACTCATAAGCAAACTGCTTAGCACACCAAGCGCAAAGTTCTCCACGGCGTCTGCAGTATCTCCCATCAACCAGGTAACTGAAGTCTTGTACTGCCTGTCCTGAGGTACCAAAGGGTCAAGGGGACCAGCAACCGTAACCTGCTTCGGGCCGTCCAGAGTGATTGGAGCCTTCACTTCTTGATCCACAGCGATTTTGTCAAATCCGTTCAAGCGACTGTCCACCTCCTTCAGATGCTCGACTAATGGCATATCTCCATAGGTAAGAATCTTAGCGTTGCTGGGATGGTAGTGGTCCGCATGGAACTTTCGTAGCTGTTCCCAAGTCAGGTCGGTGATCTTCTGTGGGTCGCCGCCGGAGTTGTTGATGGCCGGATAGAGGTGGTCCTGGAATTTGGTATAGAACAGGTAGCTAGCATCCGACATCTGGCCCTTCATCTCATTGTACACCACGCCCTTGAACACGATGCGCTTAGCATTCGGGTCTTCTGACTCTTTTGCTAGTGGGTTCTCAGGCCCCAACCGCCACCCCTCCTGCGTGAAATCGTTCTCCTTGAGTAGTGGGTGTAGTGTCGCATCGAGGTATACGGACATGAGGTTCTTGAAGTCTTGGGCATTCGTCGTCGCGAACGGGTAGCCAGTGTGGTCGGCAAAAGTCCAGGCGTTCATGAAATTGGACAGAGAGCGGGGCAGCATCTTGAAGAAGGGGTCGCGAATAGGGTACCTGAAATGTCAGCCATGGAGTGAGCGCATTTGGGAGGTAGCTTACTTCTCGCTACCACATAACGTGGTGTGCTCGAGGATGTGTGGCACTCCGGTGGCATCTGGCGGGTTGGTCTTGAAACCGATGGAAAAGACATTGTTCGCATCCTCGCGGGCAATGTGCAAATATTCGGCGCCAGTCTTGTCATGCTGAAGGTGCAAAGCTGTCAACTCAAGCTCCGGCACCTGCTTGACACGCTTGAGAGTGAAGCCATGCAACTGCTCGCCGACATTGGGAAAGTTGGAGACATCGGTGACAGCGGCATATCCACGGCGGGAGAGTGTGGACAATCGGTGAGGGTTATTGTGGCATTTCGAGGGCTCTGAAACTGCCGACCGACGGAACGCAGCATGTTTGGAAGAGAGGATTGATGACAGAATGTCGCGCCGCCTCACAGAAATGTCAGAAGCACCCGCCATCGATGACGCCTGTCGCGCCGATTGGCCGAGGGTCCCCATACCAAAAGAGATTAGCCCGCAAAATTACCAAGACGGAAGAGTGCACCTGTATGGGCTGTTGATGCGTTATACGACTGGAAACAGGCCGGATTGGCTAGTTTGTCACTGATCTCATCTGTCAGGTCCGATATTGAAGCTCGTGGGCGTTGTGGAGACTACCAGGTGTCTTGTGCCTTTCCGCGATCGACCAGACCACCGACTTCCTCCCCTCCTTCCTCTTCAACACCCGCCACGAGACATTGCCCGACCCGACTTGGACAACTGCATGACCCAACACTGTATACATTGCTACACCACACCCGTTCACGCCCCCTGCACTGCGCTGGACACCTGTTTTCACCCGAAGCAGTTCCAAGACGTCAGCGGAGAACTTCTACCTTTGGGACGCGCACTGTAGAGAGGTGGCCGCTGCAAGACGAATGCGCAACTCCGCTGCATAAGAGACTACTTTGGGGATACATGAGATTGAGTGCATAGGTGGAGGAACCATCGGAGGCAACACGAGGGGATCCACAGCTGAAGCGCTACACGCAAGAGTCACGACTTCATGGCAACCGTCGCCCAACAGCGCCAGCCGACGTCTGCCCAGTCTCGACCACACCACGAAGCAAGCCGCAGTGCATCTGCCTCTCCTGCAAACATGGCACCTGCACAGCACAACCCAGCGCCCGCGCCCGCGCCCGCTAAGAAGGGCAAGGGCAAGAAGGCGACAGACCCCTCGGAACAACAGAAGCAGATCCAGGCCAAGATTGCTCAACTCGAGCTGGATCAGGCAGGAGACAAGGAGCAGGAACTTGAAATCGGTGCGTCTACATCTTGCGACGGAGCTACGGACGAGGGGAGACTGGGTGGCGCAGTTAATGTCTGCATAGCACGGGACTGGGGCTCTATGATGTGAATCGCTGGCTGACGTATGGCATGGACAGAACGCGAAGTCAAGAAAGCAAACCGTGAACTCTCCTCCCTCCTTTCCAACATGGACGGCCCGCTGTCTCGTCTCGAAGTTGTACAGAAACGATATACCGAGCTCCTATCCGATATGAAGCGCACGGAGCGCGAACACCAGAAAGCGAAGAAGCGCGGAGATCAACTACAAAAAGAGAAGGATGCGCAAAGGTCTGAGTTGAACAAGGTTACAACTATGAAGGACAAACTGGACAAGCTGTCGCGTGACTTTGCAAAGGAAAACAAGAAACTCAAGGACGAACTACACAAACTCGAAACTAGCGAATCTACCGCCAGGCAAGAACTGCACGAGCGTCTTGAACATCTAGTGAACGATGTGGATGATTGCATAGCAGCTGCGAATGGGCCGGAGCCTCAGAATCAAGCCGAGCAGGAATTGGATGAGCTGTAAGTCTGGCATACTCGGCGTTTGTGGCACCAACTAAACGGACTAGGTTTCGTCAAAAGTTCAAATCGTTCATTGACCAGTACGAGTTGCGCGAGTTACAATATCACTCAATGCTTCGACTCAAAGAGCTCGAGATACAATATCACGCCGCCCGTTTAGAGCAGCAGCGCAAACAACAGGAGGCCGAGTCGTCAAAGTCGCACCAGTTGACGCGTCAAGTGTCGACCTTCTCTCAAACCGAGACCGAGCTACGCACGCAACTCAACATATACGTGGAGAAGTTCAAACAGGTATGTCAACCCGTTAACCCCTCGTTGGTCTGTATCATCATGGTTAATACTGACCAGATGCAGGTCGAGGAAACGCTCAACAACTCGAACGATCTCTTCCTTACGTTCCGCAAGGAAATGGAGGAAATGTCCAAAAAGACCAAACGTCTCGAAAAGGAGAACCAAAACCTGCAGCGTCACAAGGATATTACCAACCGCAATATTGGCGAAATGGTGGAAGAGCGCCAGAAGATGCAAGAAGAGCTTGTAAGGAGGACCAAGGAAGCTGAAGACCAGCGGAAGAAGATCGCTCGCCTGGAAACGTTATGTCGTGGGATGCAAGCACAGGGTCGAGGTCAGGTACCGATGCATGAGCTGGAGCATGACGAGGAGGACGAGGAAATCACGGAGAGTGAGTACGAATATGAGGACGAAGATAGCGCAGAGTATGACGACGACACTGAGGAAGACGGTGTTGAACCGGCACCTGAGCGTCGACCATTCGGACCTGTTCCCCCACCTCCACCGCAGCCTCAAGCTGCACAGGGAAAAGTCAATGGGCACACACAGGTCAATGGGCAAATGAATGGAGTCAAACGCTAATAGCAATATCATAGACACTCACTCTTCGTTGCATTCACCTCTTACAGAACCTGTATATGTCGCTCCTGATGTCCCACTTCAATCAGAACTTGCATGGTGTCTCGAAGACATCATGGCGCAGCTGGATCGTATTGATGAGGGGCATGAGCAGATGAATATAATCATGGACAGGATATCCAAGTTTCGTGCATTAGAAGATTCAGAAGATGTGGAGAACTGGTGATAGGATGAAGCGGTTCCATGCGCCACGTTTTGCACACGAGCAGGATGTCTGAACTCGACTACAGACGATGATGATAGTAGTAGCTTTGAACGTGGTTTCTGACGATCACCATGTTACCACATTCAGTAAAAGGTTTTTGAAACTGTGACCGTTCGCATCATGAGTGATGACTAAGATGGTTTACCTGTCTCGAGTAGTTTGAAATTCACCAAGTTTAGACCCTCAATTCATGAGAGACGGGTGAATCTCGGTAATGGCAACAACTATGTGAGACGCTGACGAGTCGAATCGTAGATGCCTCGGCTCATGCACCCACGTTTTCCCCGCAAAACCCCTGGTTGTCGAGCATACCTCCAGGGACGGCCGCTATTTAGCATCCACATCCCCCATACTCGCCATGCCGTCACATACAGCTTCCGTTCGGCTAGAAGCATACAGCTTAGACGTACACTCGGGTTATCCAACGTGATAAATCTCATTTGCTTTGAATCATCCAACGTCCAGTCACCACAGCCTACGCCATCATGTCACCACCGTCATTGCAAACGCCGCTCTCGAAGCTGCTGGGCATCCAGTACCCCATAATCCTCGCCGGCATGGCGCGCACATCTGGTGGCCCCCTCGCGGCTGCTGTGTCAAACGCCGGTGGCCTGGGTGTGATTGGAGGTCTAGGATACACCCCGGAACAGCTTCAATCCATCATCGATGACCTCAAGTCAAACCTGCGAGACAAGAACCTGCCTTTCGGTGTCGACCTCGCGCTCCCACAAGTCGGCGGTAGCGCACGCAAGACGAACCATGACTACACACATGGACAGCTCGACGATCTTATCGAGGTTACGATCAAGAATGGCGCAAAGTTGTTCGTAAGCGCTGTGGGTGTACCGCCCGAGCGAACTATCAAGAGGCTGCACGAAGCAGGTATTCTGATCATGAACATGGTCGGACACCCCAAGCACGCGAAGAAGGCACTAGATGCAGGTGTGGATATCGTGTGCGCCCAGGGTGGAGAAGGCGGAGGACATACCGGCGATATCGCGAACAGCATCCTGATTCCCTCTGTCGTGGACGTCGCGCGCAAATACAAGAGCCCCCTCACAGGTCAGCCAGCCATTGTAGTGGCAGCAGGAGGCATTTACAATGGTCGCAGTTTAGCCAGCAGCTTGATGCAAGGCGCACAAGGTGTGTGGGTTGGCACACGCTTCGTCGCCTCCACCGAGGCCGGCTGCTCGCAAATGCACAAGGAGAATGTAGTTACTGCCGACTTTACAGACACAGGCCGGACACTAGTTGTCAGTGGCCGACCGTTGCGCGTCAGGTACAACGACTATATCAAAGAGTGGCATGCGCGCGAGGATGAGATCAAGAAGTTGACGGATGCGGGTATTGTGCCGCTGGCAAAGGACATGGACGATGGGAAGGATGTGGATATCCCGTTCTTGATGGGTCAGGTTGCGGGGGTAATCGGCGATATTAAGCCTGCAAAGGAGATTGTTGACGAGATGGTGCAAGAGGCCGTCGACATGTTGAGGCTAGGGCAGACGTATATTGGAGGGCCGAGTAGTAAACTGTAGATGATAATTGTAGACTTGCTCTGCCTCAATGGTGCGTTGGCGTAACTCGGTTCCTGTGCTGTGTGCTACAAGATACTTTTGTGTAACACCAGCGCGCAAGAAGCGAACACATCGTCCAGGACATGTTCGGCTCTTGTTTGAATAACGCATTGCACAGGTGCCATTGACTGGTACATTATAGAAAATAATAAATACTCCATGGCCATGTAGCCGTCGCCGTGTGTTGGTGGTCCCGCACCTTCCCAGTGGAGCGGCATCTGGATGATCTGCGACCAGGATCGCGCTCCCCGAATCCATGGCAGCACCGGAAGCTCAGGAGAGATCTGACGGTACGCCCAGTCCCCTCCGCAAAATTCACAATTAATACACTTTGTTGCAATTCCCGGTCGGCCAAAAATTAGTATCATTATCCTCGCTCATCTCGAACGCCCTAGCCCCCTGGCGTTTGCGGCTATCTCCACTTTCGCTGCGACAGGACCCGTTCCTCTCTTCCGCGGCGCTCGCTCGCCAGACCGAACTCCTGCAACTCATAGATGACGCTGGTTGCGCAGGCGACACCACGGAGCAGCGGCGCATCATTCCATGCAGTCAAATCTCAGAGCCCAGGCTGAGATTCAGGCCCAGAGGAAGAAGGTATGTACCGTCCCGTTGCCGTCCAACGACGCTTGTGCGCCGCAAACAAGCAAAACACACAGGCGCATACCTGGCAGGACTGATGCTGAGACTGAAATTATAGCAGCTTGCAAATTCGTATAAACAGTTACTCGAGTAAGTCTCCTCCTTGCTTTTGCGCGCCGAGTGCGTGTTTCACCCGTGGTAATTTGCTGACCCTGGGACAGTGAGTTCGCGGCGACCGATCTGAAGACCGTCGGTAATTATACACTGGGGAAACTTATAGGCAAAGGAAGTTTTGGCAAGGTCTACTTGGCATCACACAAACTGAGCAATGGCTCCAAGGTACTGTGGCAACAAATGCCATGAAGGAACCACGCTCATCGCGAACAGGTCGTGCTCAAGAGCGCGAAGAAGGACGACGCAAACCTCGCGCGCGAAATCCATCACCACCGCCAATTCATACACCCACACATCGCCCGTCTGTACGAGGTCATAGTCACCGAGGAGCTAGTCTGGTTGGTACTCGAGTACTGCCAGGGCGATGAACTCTACAACTACCTCCTAGCCAAGGGCGCCCTCGAAGCCTCCAGAGTCCAGAAGATCTTCACCCAACTCGTCGGCGCTGTATCCTACGTCCACAACAAGTCCTGCGTCCACCGCGACCTCAAACTCGAAAACATACTGCTGGACAAACACGGTGATGTCAAGTTGGTCGACTTTGGTTTTACGCGCGAGTACGAGGGCAAGTCGAACTACCTGCAAACATGGTGTGGAACTATCTGTTACAGCGCGCCGGAGATGCTTAAGGGCGAGAAGTATGCGGGTGAAAAGGTGGACGTTTGGAGTTTGGGTATCATCCTCTACGCGCTTCTGGTGGGCGAGTTGCCTTTTGACGAGGACGACGAAATGGTCACGAAAAACAAGATACTGAAGGAGGAACCAAAATATCCGGAACACTTCCCGCAGCAAGCAAGAGAGCTGTGTTCGTCGCTCCTTTCGAAACGGCCGATCTTGCGACCTACATTGGCGGATATACTACAAAACCCTTGGTTATCGGAACATGCGCCTCGCCAGCAGGAGATTCTGAAGCTTCAACAGCCGGCGCCTTTCTCGACGGAACTGGAGAAGGAGGTGTTGCATCGTATGCGTGCAGCTGGAGTGGATATTGACATGGTAATTGAGAATGTGTTGGCCCAACGATGCGACTCGTTGGCCGGTTGGTGGGCACTACTGCTTGAAAAGGAGGAACGCAAGGCAAAACGAAGAGAGCGCAAGCGCAAGGAGAAGGAAGCAGAAGCTAAGAGCCTCAGACGGTTGAGCGCTGCAAGTAGCCGACTGGACAAACTTGCGCCTACCATCAGAGAATCGGACGAAGAGGGTATACATTCCCCATCCACACCAAAAAGTCGCGGTAGGACTATAAATCGAAGCAGCTTGCACGGTCAGTATGGTTACGGCTATTGCGAAATAAATCTAACTCTTGACAGGTGCTCCCGAGCTACCCAAATTACCGGAATCACTAACCTCTCCCAATCTTACCGTCGACGACAAGCCGCTTCCACCAATTGATACACATCGGGGCCGTAAATCCCATTCCTCCTCGCGCCCGCCACCACCAGCAAAAGATTTAGATAGACGGCGATCACGCAGTAGCATGTTACAAGTCGTGTCCACTAACCCCGACCTCCTCTCGCCCAACGGCTTCGTGCCTAAGCGGCGCCGGAAGCAGCCCTTCATCAACCACCTTTTGTCACTTAGGAATTGGATAAAGGAAACGTCGAAACGAGCACGATCACCAGGCTCAAAGGCTAGCAGTGGCCAATCCCCGAAAATACCTCCAAGTACGTCTTCAGATTCAAGACGAAGGCAAAGTACAGCGAACCGTTCTTCTGTACATACGAATCCCAAGTCTCCGCCAATACCACACACGCCAGGTCCCCGACCCCGAGGTTCGACCCACGGCTCAGGCTCCATGAGAAGGCTCTCAGCATCCCCCGCCCCACTGACACCGCGATCCTCATATCGTCGTTCCTCTGGTGGACTCCGAGGCCGAAAGTCTACATCATCATCTGTATCTTCGATTCGCAGTATGCCACACCACCATCACTCGCACTCGAAAGCCTCATCCACGTCCTCCGCCTCGCTCGCCTCTCCCGCCGTCTCCGTAAGCAGCCACTCACACAAACCCTCCAAATCTCCCCACAACAGCATCAAAGTCCTCCCCGCAACTCCCACATCCTCAAGCTTTCCCTCCAACATCCGCCTTGTACGTTCTGGATTCCCACCTGGCCTCACAGAGTCCAGCGCCGCCTTCGGAAACGGTAATAGTATTCCTCCGCAATCTCCAGGTCTGATCTTCGCAAAGAGGAAGAGGAGTCCATTCAAAGGACCCATGCTTAATGTTAATACTGGGGCTTTAAATGGCAGTCACGCAAACGGTAGCGGCTGGAGGAGCAGAAGTGGAGATAGCGGTATGGGTAGTAGAGGAACAAGTGTTCAAGGTCGAAGGAGTGGAGAAATACTGGGCATCACCGAGGAAGATGAGGAGGAAGAGGAAGAAGTTGAAGAGGTTGAGACGTTTGGAGGCAAGTTGGGTGAAGGCGAGTTCGTTGAAGAGGAAGGGCCTGGGCCGTTGACCCCGCCTAAAGAGAATTTTAAAGAGAGGGCTTGAATATCTTGTAAAACGGTCATGGGAGTAAAGAGAGGTTTGAGGATATCTTGGTGAGATTGTGGGGGTTCGGCCGTTTCATATTGGCCATTTCCGACTTCGGTTGTTGTTGCGTAGTGGGTGTTCACCTTCTTTTCGCTTTTTTTCTTTCTTCATTCTCTGAGTTATCGCACCTTTACGGCATACATTCGCGGCGTTGGTCCATTTTTTCGGATACCTATACACACATGTTCTTTTCCTTTCGTTTATCCATTCTAATCTCATAGATACATATTCCTACTATGCAAATTTTTCACGCACCACATCTATGTGCATCCTCCAGTAACGGGTGTGTTCGTAGAATGACGTCTATCACTCACGCTGATATCACTATAGCATGTTCAAATCGTGTTAGAGCCCCAAACGATGTCCTACTTACCCTGGAAATTTCTAGGCGATCGCCACACCAAGAGTCCGTTCACAATCAGCCAATAAATATTCTATACAAAGAACATGATATTCATACGTTCTCCTTGATACGTTCTCAAGGTACCCGAAGCAAGGAGAATCGATTACGTAGGACAACATCGTACAACGACACGTGTACGCAAATACACAGACAGGTACAGCAGGTAAGTCAGTAGGGATATACTTGCGCTTGATGTAAGCCTTTTCGTTGCACGCTGACTTTCAAGAGGCGGTGTGGTGTATATGTGGCGTTGGAGTCGATGGTGAATTTGGGCAGATTGTGTGACCAAGTACATCTGACCTTGACATAGTTCCGAAGATGATCTTCGGTGCAGGCAAGTACCATTGTCGCGCACGAAGATTACGTCGGTGAGAACGTTACTGGCTTCTTGAAAGCGCAACGGCTGTCCAGTGGAGATGATTCGGTGACATGCTGTTGTCCATTGTAGCTTCCTGATTGATTGTAGTCTGCTAAGCTCGTCATTTGCACTACGCGCAATGATATTGCGCCCAATGTGTGAGGTTTGCCATGTGACGCGCACGAGACAAAAGTCCAACAGCCGAAATGTGGGAGGTGGCGCATACGGTACGGTAACGCTGTGCTACACTGAGGGACGCAAGGGCCATGAAGTGGTAGATTCGAATCTGTGCGTTATCGCAGTACTCATTTCTCAAGAGGGATAGCCAGATTGGATGGCAGGTAAGGGCCGTAATATTGTGTCCTTGAAGCAAATGTAGTACATCTTGACTCGCCAACGCTCAAAAAGGACGATAAGAGAGATTGGATGACACATACGCCACTTTGATGAGCTGCTCCCTCGGGAGATGCAACGTAAGCCGGGAAGATCAGTCTGTGCATCAGTGCATAAACGGCGTGCGCCTTCGCTACACCGTAGAAAGTTGTAGAAGCACCAAGCGCAAGCCAACCACCAGCCGCTTTTTGCCCGCGGAGCTACGAATAATGATGGCAGTGAGTCTAACGAACTTTCATGTGAAGACCTCGGGAGGCGTTGTCGATACGGGCAACAGATGATACAGTCAAGACGTTGCGACAGTTTGATAGGTGCCGGTGGTGGCTTACCATGTGGGTTGGGGCGTTTTCTGACTCGACCAGTAATGAACGACAACCATAACGACATCGCGTCCCACCAATATGTACTTGGCAAATGAGATTGCACATGTGAAGTTTACGAACAATCCGTTGGTGGAAGAGGAGGGACGTCCGACAGCAGGTGAGGTAAGATTTCGACTTTGCTGAGGGATTGGCAGAGATGGTTGACTGATGCAGCAAAAGGTACAAGGGTTCAGGTAACACACGTGTATATCGATTCGTAATGAGCGAACTTGTGTTCTTACGTGACGAGAGTATGCGGGGCGTACTGCTGGTGTACGTCCGCTCCAAGCTGGGCCAGTCGACAGGCATGATGCACGCAAGGCAGAGGAGATTGCGGCGCGGTGTTGGTACGATGCTCCTGTCTTGATGTGCGTTCTCAAGACATCAGTAGTCGAGAACCACACGATGTTTAGGCGACATCTGTACCTGCATCGGATGAAGATGAGATTAGATTGAGAAGCACGAGTATACTTGGTAGCCCCTGCATATGGTAGGATGCGTTGATGAAGGGTCGTCAAGCGATATGGATCGGGGAAGACGTAATATGATTTACCCGTCTTTACCGACGCGTGTGTGAAGGAAGCGCGTAATGGGTCTACATAACGCGACAGTAAGCTAATTGCTGGGCTGATTTGCGACCTGTAGGGTGGTCACATATCCATGTCGAGCCGTCGCGTCGCCGTTCAGACGGTTCAGCCTAGGACTTGCTAGGGTATTAGTTTCGTAGATGTTCCAGGCCAGAGGCGAGCTCGTGATGAGCACGAAGGGGCAGTGCCTAAAACAGCACGTCGACTATGCGCCAATGCTGCGGCAACGGGACGGGTCAACGGGTGTTGTGAGATGTCTACTCCGAGGTCGACCCGGTCGTCGTCACGATACAGAAACTCGAAGTGAAGGAAAGCAGCAAGGAGCACCTGAAGATTGCGATGGCGGTATTGAAAGGGTGGTTGGAGACGTCGGAAACCTCGGACGTGGGGTTGGTGGCATGTCTTGCGCGCACATGCCGCAAGAGTGCTGGTGGCTTCGAGATAAGGGCGGCCCGTGCGTCGTTGGACTTGGGGAAGTCGCGCAAGCGCCATCAGGACTCGACAGATAGCGCCGGCAGCCAGCGCCCAAAGACGTTACTCAGTCCGACACGCGAGACGCAAATCTGGAGTAATGTAGAATAGAGTTAAGTGACCGAGAGTGACATTTTGGCGTGCGGTATTTAGGGCTGTTGGAGCGTTGGAGCGTTGGGGGGGTTCGTCGGTGTCTGCCGCTTCCAAGAGTGGAGGCGGAAGGAGCGAACTCAGCGAAGAAGGAGCGAATGTGCGACAATGCGCCGTCGATACGGGATGCCAGTCACGTCGCCGTGCTCCGTGCAAACATCGTGCAAATGGTGGAGGGCCATGGTTCAACCGCACTGTCACTAATAGTCACATCACTTCTGCACGACTCTGCCCTTGGACAGGCTCTGCGTGTGTATTGATTCCATAGACGCGCCACGCCGCGATAACGTCGCTCCCACACCTAAGCCAAATCCAGATGCACCCCGGCCACTACACATCCTAGTCGATAGTCCCTACCCGGCACTCTGGAAAGGACACTGACCCTGGACGCCTCAGTTCCGTAGTTGAGCTCGCGCGCCTCAAGACTAGGCCCAAGCCCAAGCAGCCTGGTCGTCAGCATCGCACTCATATCCCGCCCCTGCGCCCACCGCACAGGAAAAAGCAAATATCTCCAACGGCTGCACCGCAGCGACACTGACTGACGTGCAGAACAGCTGCATTTTACACTCTTTCCGTCGCTTGTTATCGCGCCGTTGCGCTAAGCCACCATGACAATAGACGACGACATGTACGGCACCGAGAAGAGTTTTGGGAGAGCCTCGCAAGGGTCCGACTACTATGGCGAATCATCACGGTACCAGGACGGACTGGGGAGGAGGGTTATCGAGAGCTTCAAACGGGACCCGAATTTTGCCATGACCATGACGCCAAAGGGAAGCTTAGGGGCCGACGGGAACGTCTTCGATCCAGAGGCGGCAGCGGCAAATACTGCAAACTCACCACTTGCGCGGAGACTAAAAGGTCGCCATTTGCAGATGATAGCAATTGGAGGTTCCATAGGTATGGTTTGGCATGCATCAACTAAGCGGGGGTCCACCGACTGACTTTCCCAGGTACCGGTCTATTCGTCGGCTCAGGGCAAGCACTAGCAAACGGTGGTCCAGCATCGCTCGTCATCTGTTACTGCCTTGTAGGTATCATGCTGTACACTACCGTCCACGCACTGGGCGAGATGGCAGTGCTCTTTCCCGTCGCCGGTTCCTTCTCCGCATACTCGACGCGCTTCCTGGATCCCGCATGGGGCTTCGCCATGGGTTGGAACTATGCGCTCCAATGGCTTGTCGTACTACCACTGGAAATCGTCGCTGCTACTTTCACAATCGAATACTGGAATGGCGATAAGGTCAACAACAACGCCTGGGTGGCAGTCTTCCTGGTCTTGATCGTCGTCATCAATCTTTTCGGTATCAAAGGATATGGTGAAGCCGAGTTCGTCTTCGCCATCATCAAGATCACAGCGGTTATTGGCTTCATCATCCTTGGTATCATCATCAACATAGGCGGTGGCCCAGATGGAGGCTATATTGGCGGCATGTATTGGCGTGACCCAGGCCCCTTCAATAATGGCTTCAAGGGCCTGTGCAGTGTCTTCGTCAACGCCGCATTCGCCTTTTCTGGAACTGAGCTCGTCGGTCTTGCTGCAGCGGAAACAGCCAATCCGCGCAAGTCTCTTCCCACAGCTGTCAAGCAGGTCTTCTGGCGTATCTCACTGTTCTACATCGTCTCCCTTACTATCGTCGGATTGCTGGTTCCCTACGATGACAAGCGACTCCTCCAAGACAAGAATACTGCAGATGCTGTTGCCTCACCGTTCGTCATCGCCATTCAAAATGCAGGCATTCAGGGACTGCCATCCGTCTTCAACGCTGTGATCATGATTGCTGTTCTCTCAGTCGGCAACTCCTCTATCTACGGTTCTTCGCGCACACTCGCTGCACTGGCTGAGCAAAACCAAGCCCCCAGAATATTTGCTTACATTGACCGCCAGGGTCGTCCTCTCGTTTCCATCGCCTTTGCCTCATCGCTTGGTCTTCTCGCTTTCCTTGCTGGCGCAGAACGCAAGCTACAAGATGCTGCATTCAACTGGCTACTTGCACTATCTGCGCTCTCAGCTGTCTTCACCTGGCTTTCCATCTGTCTAGCGCACATCCGCTTCCGTCAAGGATGGAAGGTGCAAGGACACACCCTTGATGAGCTTGCCTTCCGCTCTCAACCTGGCCTTATCGGATCCTATGTCGGCCTCTTTCTCAACATTCTCGTTCTCATTGCACAGTTCTACGTTTCAGTCGCTCCAATCGACATGGCCGTCCTGTCGACATCGCAACGTCTGCAAC